CATTGGTCTGTGCCAAACACGGGAATCGAAAATACGTAACGTCATCAAATGCCAACTGTGTTTATTTCGCCATACATTTGCATGTCGATAATGACTTGTCGATAGATTATGGAACAACACTAAAAAAAGCCGCCATTAGTAGCGTTCGTGCGTAGCGTTGTTAGCTTGTGGCATCACTGTACATTTACTCAAATATTTTGTACGCCCGTAAAAATATACATAATTTCATTAAGATAGAAGATATCCATAATAAAGTTCAAATTCAATGGTACCACGATTTCGTTTAACTAAAGTAAACGATTCTTTTATGGGGAACTGTATACGTTTTTACAATAAGATTCCGGAGCATATATTTTAGTTTTAATATTTAAATTTGTCATTTCCTAAGTTTAAAACTTACATTAAAGTAATTTTAATTGAAAAGTCATTACAAAATTGAAGAGTATGTTTTAGACAAAGGAGTATGGAAAGACAACAAAAGTCTAGATTCCACACAATTATGATTCAAAGTGTATCAAAAAGCACTTAAGTTGAAAAGAGCAATCCCTAGAGTTTCTTGCTCGTTCTTCTCAGTGAGGTCCGCGTAGTGAACGAGCAGTAGTTTAAAAAGTAGCTTAAAAAATGACGAACGAAAAATGATTATTTGATTTTGACGTTGATTTTGTTACATTTTTGTTAACCGACTTCAAAAAAGGAGGAGGTTCTCAATTCGTCTGTATGTTCTTTTTTTTTTGTATGTATGTTACGCGATAACTCCGGTATTTGTGAACCGATTTTCATGATTCTTTTTTTGTTGGAAAGGGGGTATTTCCATAGTGGTCCCATTTCATTTTGAAGAAAATCATCCACCTCGAAGGGTGGCTGTTCACGCATGAAGATTCATTTTTATAAATAGCGCCAATTAATTTAGGAGCAATTACTTTAATGGTTGATTTTGCTATTTCTCCAATTCAAGGCGTTTTTCTTTCAATATATTTTGAGTAGTGAGAACCGATTTTTATTATCTCCAGTGTCAAGTCCTGTATAGTGGCGAACTAGGGGATATTTCAATAAAACTTAGCAAATAGACGTAATTCCACGTACTTTTGAGGTCGGTTTTTTTAGTACTCTGTACTGAGATTATATACCATATATTTCGGTGAGTGTGCGCATGAGCACCAACAGGTCATCCCGCGCGCCCCCTTTTACCATCGGATATCCAGACGTAAGGCGGGATATCATTCATACTTGGTCGATATTCCTTTCAGGCGTACTAAGCGCATTTCATTATCTTTTATTATGCGCACAGCCCGGGAATGAAACTCCCTGCCTGCGACTGTATTTCCGAACTCATACAACCCGGGTATCTTTAAGGTATGACGACTGAACAGGTATCTTCTGGGCGAGCTCGTTCCATCGTAGATTCCATCTTTGCTCCAGAGCTAGGTAGCAAGTCCGTTTAATTAAAAAAAAAAGAAACGATAGTTTACTGTCTTTTTTTATGCAACGTTAGAGGCAAACGAGCAGACAAGCCGTAGTTTCGTAGCAGTAGAGCTGTGGCGATCCCACTACATAACTTACATATACTTATATAAACACTATATATATATATTCTAAAATTATAAATATATAGTACACATTACAAAACATAAATGTATAATAACTAATAAACGAGAATGCTATAATATATATTAGATAAATATATAATACACACATATATAATACGTAAATATATAATACATACTACAATAAATAAACACTAACTACAGAACACAACTATACTAAACTAAGTAATAAAAACACGGATGCACTTACCTGCACGACGTATCGGATGAAGACACTGGAGTCGCGCACTGCGATGCAAGAACAATGGGTTACGTCACTCACCTGCGCCGACGAATCGAACCATCTTGCTGCCAACCAAACCAGTCTAAATCACTCGCGGACACAGTGCGCACGTCGCTTGCTTTTATGTTTGGTACCGCATTCTTACGCTTTTACTTGCTTTGTAAATACATAACGCATTAAATACCTACAGAGCTTTTTGTGAAAGAGTTGCAGGGAAGTACTGCCATGCTGCCACCTTACCTATTTCTGCCGCCAAGCACTGATGTGAGTGTTAATATTCCTGGTGTGGAAATTACAGGCACAAGCGACTTGTCAATGCGTGTCTCTGAGTGGCAGGCGCAGCGGCAGTGTCCCTCATCATATCAGTGTATCATAATTATAAAAAAAGCGACCTCAAAAGGTCGTGGAATTACATTTATTTGCCAAGTTTTATTAAGATCGTTTACCGGAAAGTGCGCGGAACCAGATTAACCCTCTAGTTTGCCACCCTTAGAGGTGGAACATTTTCACAAATTTAAATGGGATCAATACTAAAGTACTCTTGCCAACAAAAAAAAAAAATCACCAAGACCGGTTCACAGAGTTATCGCGTAACATCCGTACAAAAAAAATTCAGTCGAATCCTTTATTTGAAGTCGGTTAAAAAGGTGAAATAAAAAGCTTTGCGGATGACAAATGGCGTTTACTATAACAACGACAGCTCTTAAATCTAAAACAGAAAGAGCGTTAGTCCTGTTTCTTGCAATATTACTGGTAAGCTGGTAGCACTGTCTACGGAGAATAATAAGTTCTTTAGTTTGTACCTATATGTTCTTCTAGAAATTTCATATAAGATGTCACCCTTACGAATCCTGTGGGGTTCCGTTGCTCGCAATACTTTGTGCCGAATGTGGCGACGCCAATCTGAAAGTTTTCATTATTTTATCTTATCACATGTCATCTAATTAATTTGATTTAAGTATAAAATGTAAAACGGAAATTCAAAACTATTTAAACAACATCTTTAATTCGGTTACCTATCAGTAGTCGAAATGACATTTTCCAGAAACAACGTTTGCTCGAATTTTCATAACCTCGAAAGTAATTTTGAGAGGAAAATGTTTTTTCTTTAAAACTTAAGTTAGTCTTTTTTTTACCCAGAGACATACCCCGCTCCCGGGGGAGACGCGAGGCTATGTTATATTATTGTTCTCCTCTCTAAGAAGAGAGGCCTACCCACTAAAACTCCGGGGGTGTTCCTCCACATACCCTGTGGCGGGAACGCGGGGACGCGTCTGCATTCTTCCGCGAAAAACCTATCCTAACCGAACCTAATCGTGTGTTTGCGGTAAACATCCAACATATCCTGAAAGAACAACTGTTTCATTATAATTCGGTTTTCGGTGTAATGAAAATTCGAACAAACGTTACGTCGGAAAAAAATTCGAGGTTACCGTTTAATTCAAACTCATTTACAAAATTATGCTAATTGGTGACAAAAGTAAAATTATGACAACAGTAAACTGTCGTAGAAAAGATAACAAAGCGAAGGTTTCTCAGGGCCAGTCAGTCATATACCTTTTGATTTGTTCGTTTGCAATAAATTGTATAGACGGCATTTGTTTGAATTTTTAATACTGAGTCAGCTTCTTTGCGATTTTATTATATGTTATTGTATACATATTATAATCAACGCCTGAACTTGAGAATAAACCTTGACGAAAATGTAATAGCCGCCATCTGTTGGCCATTTCGAATATTATTATAATCGCATTGCGGGTTTACTTGGTACCATATATTTATTTACTTACATTTCCATAACACAAGTGCTTTGGTTACTTATTTGGAATCAGAACAACATACATGATTTTGTTTAATAAATACCTTATAATTTGTAGTCTATGCTGCCATCCACTAACTAAAACGCGGCTATGTGAAAAAAGCATCTTGGAGTTATCATAAAATACCTACCATGAGTCAGTTTTAGAAAATTGGCTATGCGTCATTAGGGTAAGTTCCGATACATCGAACACGATAACATTAACTGTTTTTAAAAGATAATTTTGAGCTCTATGTTATGCTATTTAAAACAAATATTTCCTCTTGTCACTTAGCCACGTTTTAGTCTGTGGACGGCAGTGTGTCAATGGCACCCGCGCAGTGGCGGATTTGCCCTAAGGCCCTGGGTTAGGATTTTAGGGGCGGCCAATCGTGCCAAAAGTTCACTGATGATAACAACAAAACTCAAAGTACCTAAATATTCTAAAGGCTCACGCACATTATGGCGGGCCGCACTGCACCGCGTCGTGTAACAATAATCTTTACATATCTATAATATAATGTCACTACATCATTACATATTATCACTACCGCGTCTGTCTGTCTGATCGCGACAAACTTGAAAACTACTGAACAGATTTTATGCGGGAAGGGCACTATGACCTGTGCGAGCGAGCCCTCACAGGGACCATCTAAGTCAGATCCTAACCCCGGATCAGCACGTTTGCACGTGCTTCATCCGGTTCTCTGTAAGCCTAGTGCCTTAGGTGAGCTGCCCCGGGTGCACGTACAGCACCCTCCCTATTTTCCAAATAGGTACCGGAGCTGTAGGCACGCTCACTTCCCGTCGCGCTCTGCACGACTGACGGTTGCCACCGCTGAGCAGTCAACTCTAAGTCCACTACCAAATCTCCTCGTTGGTGACGGAGCTGTAAGGCACGCTCACTTTCCGACGCCGAATGAACGGCGTCTCTCCAGTTCCCAAATTCCTACGCGGCCGGAGGGACCGGAAGATGTCTAGCTCATCCCCTAATAGCTCTCCGGGCTAGTACCGGAGATACCAAGTGGCAGAGTCCTGCGACAATGTCCGGAATAGCCACCGACCAACTAACTGCTAACTGCGCGCGGGACGAACGCCCCGGCCACACCCTACCGGGGCAGACGAACGTGTTCGTCCCTGCAGCTAACGACAAACCCCGGCGAGTCCATACCCAAGTCCGAGTCCGCCAGAGATGCCCGTGAAGACGTATAACTGGCGAAGGGGTTGACCCGGACGCCCGCCGTACCCTGGTCTTGCCGTCGAGCCCGTAGTCTCTACAGAAAACCCTATCTCTCGTGTCAGTAGATAGGGACAAGACAGAGTGACAAGCTCCATTTCTTTCTACGTTAGTTTTGATTATAGTGACCCTCCTTACCTCTCCTGATACGGGAAGGGCATTATGACCTGTGCGCGCACAGGAACCTTACAAGTTCAGGTTCTGACCCCAGATCAGCCAGTGCACAGGGTTGTCACAGACCTCTGTAACTTGACTTCATCCGGTTCTTCGAGAGGCTAGTGCCTCGGGTGCGCCGCCCCGGGTGCATGTCCAGTATCCTCCCTATTTTCCAGATAGGTACCGGAACTGTAGGCGCGCTCACTTCCCGTTGCGCATTGCACAACTAGCGGTTGCCACCGCTAAGCCGTCGACTCTGAGTCCACTACCAAATCTCCTCATTGGTGGCGGACCTGTAAGGCACGCTCACTTCCAGACGCCGAAAAACGACTTCTCTCCAGTTCCCAATAACCTAAACGGTTGGAGGGACCGGAGGATATCATAGCTAAGACAGAGTGACAGTGAAATTCATTATGTTGTCTACCAGTATATGATGAGTGCTGACAAAGGGTCGGCTGGTACTGATTACATTGCCTGCGACCTAGGGCGGCCAGGACTGCAAATCAGCCACTGCACCCGCGATATAAGATTTCCCCAGTGCAAGGTTATGAGTATATGTTTAAAAATAATATCCTCTGCCTTTTCGTTCTCCGGTTTACGCTGGCACTAATTGGTGTAGATTTAGAGTATTACATTTACATTATCATGATTTTAATTTATCACCAATGTACTTGCCAAAATCGATTTGTTTTTCCTGATAACAGTCATCGCAGATCCGGAATCTCCAGGACACGTGGTCCCGGTGGAAGATTGCGCACAGACGACACGTTCGTTCACAGACTTCCCAAGGTACGCTGCTTGACATCGGTGGTTGTCGATTACTTGCACCGTTTTGTGATGAAGCGTTTGTCCTTTACCGATAGTTTGATCTGAAAACATCTTTATATCACAGATGGTGTTACGGCAAAAGACCTGCCACAAGCACATAGAAAAATTCCTAAGGTCGTTATGGTCCGGTCCGGTAATATTTTTGTATTAATAATTATAAGGAATAATTTCACAAAAAAATAATTGAATATCATGGTGGTGAAACATCTGTAGCTGCAAGTCATCCACACACCCGCCGCGCTGAACGCATCGGCGTGCACTGAACGGCGAGAGCGCGGCGGGTCCTATTTATGCCTTCGCGCGCAGCCGCGCCGTAACATCTCTATATACTACTTACTCACTTAGACTTGTACTATTCTTAAGATATACAAAAGTATATAAGTAGTAACATTCGTTGAATAAATGTCGAGCTACAGCAAGCCACACCAAGCTAGCAAGCCACAGCAATAGCCTTCGATACCTGAACAACCAGTGTTTTATTTGCCTACCAGCAGCTACACAACAGGCTCCTAAACATCCATTCAATAAAATTTAATTACAATTATTAAAACGACATCTCTAATCAGCGGCTGGTAGCTGCAAAGCATCGAGTATATAACCAGAAAAAAAAAATAAAAAAATCCGAATTCGAAACAATTGACGGTTGTCGTCAACTGTTTAACTTAAAATCGACCAGTTTAACTTGAGCTTTGCTATAATGGACGATAAATTACGGATGAAACGTGATACCGTTTGTTTTGTAATTAGATGTTTTGCTGTTCCTCCCCACACCACCGAATGGAACAGCATGCCATTGTTAGAGACGCCATTGTTATCTTTATTACAATAAATATAGAATATTTTTGAAATATACGGAGACGTACACACTGGTCAGTTGTTGACGCTGTACTATTTCAGCTTTCTAATTTGTGATTTCAGCGCAAACGAGAGTTGATATTTAAAAGTGAAATAAGTCCCATTTTCCAGATGAGTTGTCAGGGTTGGATGGCCCTTATTTCGTTTCTATTTCTGGTTATATACTCGATGCTGTAAAGGTACCTCGCTGAGTGAAGAAAACTTTCATAGATGCCGCCGTCTAAAAGTCGTTAAAAACCAAAAACAAATATCTGCAAGAAGCACTTGGAAAAACTCGTTCCGAGGCTTAGTTGGCATAGCGTCTGGCTTGGATTGTTGGGAGACGTTGGTTCGAATTCAACCGGATCGAAGTGGATTTTTTTCAGTCTTTGTTTAATAATTATAACCCTTTATATTTTATTTTTATTGAATTTCATACTCAATGTTTTTGCTACAATGATATTTATCTATTATTTTTGTGAAAATACTTCACAATACGTTCACGTCTCGTCATTGAACATTATTTACTTGTGTTGAGGTGTATTGGCCACGGAAGAAAAAAAACAATGGAAGTCCTTATGCCTCGATTACTATGAGAACCGATGCGCCAAAACTCACACATTTTTAATTTGAAACACGACAAAATCTTGATATTGATTGTTCGTAGTTTCAAATTTAAAAAGAAATAACAAATTCTCTATTGTTAATACATATAATTTAAACTTTACCCTTTTGGCATACCTTTGAAAGTTCATCACTATCAATACCTATTATTACTTACGACGTTTAGATATTATATTGAAATTTCAATCAATGTGCTGCCATCTAGCGGTTCATTGCTGAACGACGTCGAATTGGAGTAAAAAATTTAGTTCTCCATTAAGCCACCATATTGCAGGGGTGTAAGCTTTACTTTCGTTTCTTATAACAAAAAAAATTTCGATAAACAAAAAAACATAAAATTTATTAAAATAAAAGTTTTTGATGATATGAAATACCACCACTTTCGTTTTCGCTTTCGTTTTTAGGCACTTTTCTTGGATTTTAGAAAATTTGCACGAAAGAATGACACAACCATACCATACAAAGCGAAAATGGCGGAGCTCACATAGGTCTCGAAAAACCTATGTCCTCATCAGCTCACTCCGCCATTTTGTATTTATTGTTCTGTGGATAGGATCATAGGATCTGGGAATACATTTATAAGTAAATAGAGTAATGAATCAATGGCCAGTACTTCTGTTGCATTGTTCACTAGAAAAGCATCTCGTTTCTTCAATGTCAGCTTAAAACATACCTTCTGTTTGTCTTCCATATCCAACGATCACAGCTTTAGCATCCACAAAGCTCTCCTTCAGCATTGAACCGTACGGCAAGTCCACTTTCTGTATGTTCTCTGAAAAAGCAATTACTTAATAAGTAAATACCTAAGTGCGCATTTGACCTCCATCTCACCAGATGGAAAGCGACGATGAAGTGGAAGATGTAGCATGCACATTTAAATAGTGCCTACTCACTCTCGCATTGAAAAGGCCCAAGTTATAGCGTTCGGGGAACAAGACGTCTGCAGACAGAGAATTCCACTAATTTGCTATTTTTAACCGACTTCAAAAAAGGAGGAGGTTCTCAATTCGACTGTATGTTCTTTTTTTTGTATGTATGTTACGCGATAACTCCGGTATTTGTGAACCGATTTTCATGATTCTTTTTTTGTTGGAAAGAGGGTATAATAATGGTCCCATTTCATTTTGAAGAAAATCATCCACCTCGAAGGGCGGCTGTTCACGCATGAAGATTCATTTTTATAAATAGCGCCTAACTTTAATTTAGGAGCAATTACTTTAATGGTTGATTTAGCTATTTCTCCAATTCAAGGCGTTTTTCTCTCGGTATACTTTGAGTAGTGTCGTAGTGAGAACCTATTTTTATTATCTCCAGCGTCAAGTCCTGTATAGTGGAGAACTAGGGGATATTTCAATAAAACTTAGCAAATAGATGTAATTCCACGTACTTTTGAGGTTGGTTTTTTTAGTACTCTGTACTGAGATTATGCCATATGAATTTCGCGAAACGCATTGTGCGAATCTTTGGAATATGTATATTCGTGACCTGAACGTCGCCGTGGTTGTTGTGTTCGAAATTTCGGGTCAATTCTAGTCAACTTCGCTAACAATTAACTCATCTTCATCATCATATCAGACGGAGACGACCACTGCTGAACATAGGCCTCCCTCAAAGATTGCCAGACTAGGCGGTCGGACGCTATGTGCGCCAGTCTAGTAGAGGGTCGTCCCACTAAACGCCTTTTAGTTCATAGTCTCCATTCGAGAACCTTCCTGCCCCAACGGCCGTCAGTTCTACGAGCTATGTGCCTTGCCCACTGCTACTTCATCTTGGAAATCCTTTGGGCTATGTCGGTGATTTTCGTTCTTGTACGGATCTCCTCATTTCTGTTTCGATCACGTAGAGAAATACTTTAGTTACTTCCATAGTATAATATCCTACGGGATTCTCGTGTGGGGTAAAGCGGCAGATATTCAAACCATATTTGTATTGCAAAAACGAGATTCGTCCTGTGTACCGTTCTAGGTTCCCAGGTTTCTCTCAGATAAAAGTTTAAGGAGACTGGTATCATGACTGTGGCATCACAGTACATTTACTCAAATATTTTATATGCCCGAAAAAATTTACATAATTTCAGTAAGAAAGAAGATATCCATAATGTTAACCTTACAGCTAAATACAAACTCATGTTACCACGATTTCGTTTAACCAAGTTAAACGACTCTTTTATGGGGAACTGTATACGTTTTTACAATAAGATTCCGGAGAATATATTAAGATTATCATTTCCTAAGCTTCAAAACTACATTAAAAATATTTTGATTCAAAAGTCATATTACAAAATTGAAGACTACGTGTTAGAGAAAATGTATGAAAAGACGACATGGTTCCAGATTTCACACAAATTTGATTCAAAGTGTATTCCATAGCATTTAAGTTTATTTGAAAAGAGCAATCCCTAGAGTTTCTTGCTCGCTCTTCTCAGGGAGGTCAGCGTAGTGAACGAGCAGTAGCTTAAATGTGATGTTTTCAAGTGTAAATCTATTTTACCTATGGAATAAATGATTCTTAGACTTTGACCTGACCGTGCCATGTAGTGGAACGTAAATATACTGTGGAATAGGTACTCACTGGTAAATTCCAGCTTTGTGTCGAGCTTAATGACGGCTATGTCGTTCCTTAGTTTATTGTAATTGTTTTGGAAATAGGGATGAAGCTGAAATTAGTAAAATATGAATATCTTGGTTGTTTACTAAATGATAATCTTATTTTAGGTGTATGGGGAGAACAGCAATTCTGTCCTTACAGGATGTTACCTCGCGTAGGCTCAGCATGAACCTGCAGATCGCCTTAACCTAACGGCATCTAGTATGAAATGGAGACGGAATGTCATTTAATTTGTTTGAAAACTATTCTGCCTTATCATTACTGTGACAACTGCGCTCCGATTGGCCAGCCCGAGTTCGAAACAATTGACGGGTGTCGTCAACTGTTCAAATCGACCAGACCAGAACTTGAGCTTTGCTATAATGGACGAAAATTGTAAAATTACAATATTTAATTATCGATGAAATTTGATTCCGTTAGTTTTGTAATTAGATGTTTTGCAATTTTTCCCCCACATCGCCGAATGGAACAACACGCCATTGTTAGAGATATTATCTTTATTATAATAAATACAGAATATTTTTGGAATATACGAAGACGTACACACAGGTCAGTAGTTGGCGCTGTACTATTTCAGCTTTCTAATTTACGACTTCAGTGCAAACGAGAGTTGATTTTTAAAAGTAATATAAGGCCCATTTGCCTGATGATAAGCGACTTTTCGGAGTGGTTGTTGGTATTAAAAATGTTATCAGTTTAATAGTAATGTTGTTTAATTGTAAATAGAAAATGTAAAATAAAATACTGTAAATGTTTTAAATTTGTTAATGTTGAAAGTTAATAATGAAAATTTCTTTTTATAATATGAAGGGACGGGACGAACAAGTCGTGCGCCTGATGGTAAGCGACACGCCTGTCCATAACAGTTGCAGTGCCACTCAGAGCTTTAAATTGCAAAGATCTGAGGGGTACTGCCACTGCGCCTGTCACCCTGAGACATAAGTTGACAAGTTTTTAGTAGCAGTAGAGCTCCTTGTGAAAGAGTTCGTCCAGGGAACTACTGCCACCTTACCTATTTCTGCCGCCAAGCAGTAATGTCAGCATTACTGTGTTCCGGTTTTGAAGGGTAAGGGTGCTGGTGAAATTACAGGCACACGGGACTTGGCAATTCATGTCGCTTACTTACGCACGACTTGTTCGCACCGTCACTTGATTTTATAAAAAAAAGTCCCACGTGCCGAAACCGGAACGTAGTAATGCTATTACTGCTTGCCAGGTTACGGTGGCAGTACTTTTTTAAAGCTTCTTACATTATTGGAACACTTACAACAACTTTGTTAGTCTTAATTCTCGTTCCTCCCTTGAATAAAGTTAGGGATCCAAGTACAACGGTCAGCTCCTTGGCTTCGTCTTTATCGTCCTTCCAACAATGTCCAGCTGTGACAAGTCGATCTCTGGATATAAGTGTCGCACCCCCGATCGATGTGTGACCGTTTTTCAGCTTTATTATCAGTCCTGCCTGAAAATTTTATACACTCAGTTCAATATAATAGAATAAGCCTTATACATTTTTCATCACACTTGCTCGTAAGCAGTGTCATAACATGCCGGCAAAGTCGGCTGTAATGTGCTGAATTACGCCCACGGGCTTTTTATTACCGCCTTATGGCAGTAATTGTTTCATATTTTTAATTGTACTGTGCTGTGAAAACTGGAAGTGACAGAGGTACGTGCCCTGTAATGCAACCCTGTGCACTGGCTGATCTGGGGTCAGAGCCTGAACTTATAAGGTTCCTGTGGGCGCACAGGTTATATTGCCCGTCTCGTATTCCCTAAGGGTCGATAGGTAGGGTCACTATAACAAAACTAATGTAGAAAGATATGGGGCTGTCTCCCATAAGGCTGAAGGGTTGTAACCCTAACTAGCCGTGAACAGGTTCACGGCAAAGAAACGGGAAACTTCCGGTCCACAAAATTTATTAAAGACGTAAAGTTTAAAGAAAGGCTGTAACAATATAAAGGTAAATGTAAAAAAAACAGGTTTAACGGTATAAAACACTCCCTACGCTTTATTATTAAGGCACTTACCCCTAAATGGGCCGAGAAACTGAATTACAGAAATAGATACATGAAGGGTGTGGACTTATAAATTATTACACATGATTAGCTTATTAACAGCTCTGACTGTTGTGGAGGTCGAGCTGGGAGTGACCGTGGTACGAAAGCAACATGAGAAAGTGAAGGAAGATAGAACAATTCAAATGTAAAATTTAAATACAAGTAAAATAAAAAAAATGATAAGATACAAGAGGTGAAATGACGGTGTAAGGAGGTCACACCGTCACAAGGTTATATTCTGAAATACATATGGATTTGAAAAGCAACAGAAGTGGTACTTACGGCATAAGGAAAGTCTTCGATAGTAATCTGTCTTTCTCTAACGGTTCTTGAATAAGATATTCGTCTGGTTTCCTCTTGCTTAATTTGTCTAGCCTTAGGAATGCCTACCTTTTCATGGTAGTAAATTATACTATCCAAGTCGATAGACCCGTCAAAAGCTTTTGTTTTTCTTTTGCGTTTCATTAATTTGTAACTCTTTTTAGGCTTGTTAATTTCGTCTTTTAGTTTGGAAGTAGGGTTGTATTGAATGTCTACTTGAAAATTTGTATACGATTGTTTAGTTTTAGTATTACGATTCAAATTCCATTTTTCTTCTTGTGTAGTTATGAGAGTTTTTCTTTTTTTGTTAAATACTGCGCCTCCTTTGTTATTTGTTTCTATTTCAAAATCATCTAATTTGTATTGGTAAAAAGAATTAATAAATACTGATGTTCTTTTATTGTCTTGGTTCTTAATGTCTCCTTCTCGGAGTAAATTTACAATTGCATCATCGTCTATGTCATATGTTGAATCCCAAAAATCCTCTGGATCTTTTGACACTTCTGTATAAAATGTATCCGGTTTGTTTTTCATGACAGTACTTTGGCTCGACGCGACTAAAGTAAGGGTTGTTAAATAGTTCTTTATAAAATGATAATACATTGTTATTTTATTTGTTCCTGTGATTTTGGTTCAAACTTAGAATCATAACGTATACTTTTGGTTTGGGAATTGAAATAGATATTAAAATTTAATGACTACGATGGAAAATCTGGAAAAAAGAATCGTACTGTTTTACATGGGTCTCAAATATATTCCTCATTAATCCTATGCCTTATCTATTATACATTTTTAAAATATTAATGTAATTAATGAACGGAAGGAAGTAAGAATTAGAGATGTGTCAAACCGAAAATGTAGATTTAAGACTTCGTAATCATTTGCTAAATGATTGTCACTAATTACCACGTGTTTCTTACCACATGGAATCTGTTTAGTAGCAGTAGAGCTCCTTGTGAAAAAATTCGTCCAGGAGAGCACTGCCACCTTATCTATTTCTGCAGTAATGTTAGCAATACTGTGTTCCGGTTTTGAAGGGTAAGGGTGCTGGTGAATTACGGGCACATGAGACGTGTCAACTTATGTCTCAGGGTGACGGGCGCAGTGACAGTGCCCTTCAGATCCTTGCGATTTAAAGGTCTGAGTGACATTGCAATTGTTATGAACAGGCGTGTAGCTCGTTTTGACGCATTATGCCAGAAACGCAAACTGCCAAACGGGCAGAATGCCAAATGTTACTGACAAGAACGGGCATTCCTCCTCCTGACGCACGAAGTAATGTCCAGTGGTCGTCAAGTAAAGTGGACGTCATTCGACTGAAATAATGATTATAATGAAGCGACGTTCTGATGTTGTATTAATTTGTTAAAAACAAAATGTAGTTTCCTCTAACTACTAAACAACTGATCTTTGTATCGTAAAGAAACTTGCTAACTTTACAGTTTCAATCAGGCGCACGACTTGTTCGTCCCGTCTTTTAATATTATAAAAAAAGGGTCCGGTTCATTTCAAAATATGATTTTATGCGTAACGTGTATTGCACTGAAAAGGGCCCAACTCAGCAAATACTGCGGCGGAGCCACAGCGCTCGTTTTCTGTGGACCCTTCTTGAAGTGGCCGATTTAAAAATAAAAATTATAAATAAAATTAAAAGGAAAATGAAAAATTGTAGACGCGCGTTAAAATAGGTATAAATAACAACGTATAAATAACTCAATTTGATTAGAAAAATAAAATTGTCACTATATCTTTATGTATTTTATGTTTCTCTTTCCGTGATACAAATCAAATTTCTTTAGGCGTATTTTGCTGTATTAAAATGTGCTCTCTGAGTTTAATTTTAATTTTAATTTATAACTGCCTCCGTGGCCGAACGGTTACTGCGAAAATAATAATAAAAACAAAAATGGTTCAACTACGTCTCAAGTAATAGGAGGTAGTCGTCTACAGCGAAAGAGGGTACACACATATCTGTTCTTAAAGCTGTCATGTGCCTCTGGCCAGTCAACCCGTGACCATGGAGTGTGTAAAAGAAATATCTTGACAATAGAAAAAAATCATAACGTGGTAAGAAATCTGTAGTGAATTAGTGATAATTAGGGCCCGGATTAATATTTAATTGCATATTTTTTATTTCAATAATTGACATTCTTATTTATTATTTATTTATTTAATAGTTTATTGTACAGGAAAAATACAACAAGTCACAAAGAATACAAGCGAAATTAAAAACAAAAGGTTCTGCTTATTTCTAATAGAAATTTCTTCCTGCAGACCTAAACACAGGACACTATAACTAAAAGAACGGGCATATGTGCACAACAAAACAAGAAAAAAAAATAGTAATATAAAAATATTAAATGGTTTTAAATCATATAAATACTTAGATAAATACATATTTTATAATATAATACCTAAGATATGGATGGAATAGTAGATAAATAATGCTCTTTAACTCTCACTTTAAAAATAGCTAACGATTTACTTTCGTGAACAGTAATAGGAAGTGCATTCCAAAGTCTGACCGCATGAACAGTGAAGGAGTGAGAATAGAAACCGGAATTGAACCATGGAAAGATAACTGGGACCTAACAAGAGAGCGACAGGGTTTATCCTGGGAGCTAAGGAAGCTGAAACGCTCTTTCAGGTACCCGGGAGACACAGGGTTATGTAAAATATTGTAAAGAATGGAGACAATATGCAAATTCCTGCGGAGACGGATGGGAAGCCATTTGAGCTGACTGCGGAAAGGTTAAATTCGGTCATATTTACAAAGCCCAAAGATGAACCTTATACATAGGTTTTGCAGTCGTTCAAGCTTATTTAGCAGTTCTTCAGTAGCATCCAAATAGCAGGAATCAGCATAGTCTAAGAAGGGCAAAATAAGTGTTTGGACTAAACATATTTTGGTTTTTAAAGGTAAATAGTTTTGGAGGCGCTTAAGTGAGTGCAAGGAGAAATGGACTTTACGACTGACTTCATTAATATGTGGAGTCCAAACCAAATTACAATCTAAAAGCAAGCCAAGATTAGTTGCAGTAGAAGCATAAGCAATAGGCGTGGAATTATACGCTATAGGTGGGACAGAATCTAGATGCAATGTGCCACGCATATACCTACTTCCCACAATCATAGCCTGTGACTTTTTGGGATTCACCAACAAACCAAAACACTCAGCCCAATGAGCGATGCATCGTAAATCAGCATTAACCGCTTCAACGGCTGCAACGACATCAGACGCTTTAAAACTGCGGTATAGCTGCAAATCGTCAGCATAGAGATGAAAGTTTGAAGACAGCACAAAAGTGACAGAATTGATGAAAACAGAGAAAAGGAGAGGGGAAAGAACACCACCCTGAGGAACGCCAGCAACTAAGTCACACCAATCAGAGGAAGCCTCGTCAGAGCGAATACACTGCGAGCGGCCTCTGAGGTAGGAGTCGAACCAAGCTATAACCGAAGGAGATATATTAAAAGAGCGAAGGGAAGCAAGCAATACGTCAAAGTCCACAGAGTTGAAAGCACTGCTGAAGTCCAGAAGTATAAGCAAAGTGAGAAGACCATTGTCCATTGCGAGGCGAATATCATCTGTTACCTTCAACAGTGCAGTCACAGTGCTATGGCCAGAACGAAAACCTGACTGAAACGGGGAAAGCAACTTATTAGAAGAAAGATACAACATTAACTGCTTGTTGACAATGTGTTCGAGGACTTTGGATAGAAATGGGAGAATGGAGATGGGACGGAATTCGGAAAGGCAAGTAGGGTTAGACGTTTTGGGTAAAGGTATAACATGGGCGAGTTTCCAATGAGAAGGGAAAGAACTAGCTTCTAAAGAGAAGTTAAAAACATGAGTGAGGATAGGGACAAGTTCAGGGAGTATGAGGCTAATCATACGGGAACTGAGATCATCATTGCCAACAGCAGTAGAAGAAATAGAGAGAATATGGGTTTTGACCTCACATTCGGAAACAGTCCGGAAGGAGAAAGAGGTACATGGTAAACTATAGTCAGCCAAAATGCGAAGGGTAGCGCTTTTACGATGCTTATCTAAAGTAACAGGGGGTAGGGAAAAATGTCTATTAAGCGCGTTCTCATTCTTTCGTTCTAGCGTTCATTCTTTAATTTGTTTTCTACACAAATCTTCTTCTTCTTGGCGTGTGGCCTCTGACGTTTATATTTGTAAGGACCAGTACTTAACGACTGAGATAGCATTATAGTGGTGTCGTACAGGTCCTCGCGTGTGCAGGTGTAGGGCCACGCAGGGGAGGATAAAGCTTGTGCCATTGTCTGGGGAGAGACACCACACGGACGTGCGCTCTCCGAGCTGTAACCCCACCCGTGCATACACTCCTTGCTTCGGGCGACTTGGGTCCGCAGCCTATTTAGGGACTTCTACATAAATAATGATATATATAGAATCAGAAAAAGTAACTTTTTTTTCCATATTTTTCCATATTTACATGATATTTTATTTAATTTAAAAAAATGAAGGTGCGTGCGTGCTTGAAAAAAAATAAAGGTTTTAATGCACTAAAAAAAAATTAACAGTGTATTGTGTGGAAGATTAAAAGACAAGCCAGACGTGACCATAGGACGTGACCTACTGACTTGCGGACTTGTACAAATTTAAGTTTGCCCCAGTCACACCCTGTGACGTCGAAAATACACTCAGCCAGTACAAAGCGTTGATCCGAATTTTAATTTTGAAAATTTAAAAAGAAACATGTAATGTAAATGTACCCGCTACTCTCAGACTTGAACCGTCTGACGAAATATTTGAGCGCCGGCTGAAAGACCTTTTCTTGAAAAATCCTATATACTCCGTAAAAGAATTTATGGACTTTGAATTGTAACGAATTCAGTATTTTCTATTTTTATTGTAATTTTTACCGCAATAACATACTCTTGTATAATTGTTATCAACTTATGACGATCCTTGATGGAGAATGATATTTGATATGTAATTTAATGACAACAATATTATATAATGAATTGTTAATTTTCTAATTATTGTGTGCTTTTCTTTAATTTTCCTTTTTGTCTGACGATCTCAATATAATTTCTTATACTTTGACATGTAGTGCAATTTATACTGTAATGTTATATTTGAGAAATAAATGAATCTGAATCTGAAAGAATCATGTATAATACTTAACCCTC